CGCCGCCCCTCCCTCCCCGCGGGGTCAGCGCCGGGGCTTCGGCCGCAGTGACACGTGACCGCGGTGCAGGCCCAGCTCGCGGGGTTCGGCCGCGGGGACCCGCGCAGGGGTGCCCCACAGCTGAGCCTGGACGACTGCAGGCGACACGAGCGGGCAGTGTGTTCGTGGGGGCCGAGACTTGTCCGATTTTGCTCGCGGAGTTCGCAGGGCCCAGGGCTCGCTGCTGGCTGCCCGGGGCTCCCGCGCAAGGCTGGCTCCGCGGCGGTTTCCAGTCTTGTGGTTGCGTCCTTGACCCCGACGGGCAGCACCTGTGGGCGCGCGGTGCTGGAACCCGCGGGCCCGCTGGTCGCGCTCCCGTACTCCCTTCCCAGATCCCGATCTCCTGACCGCTGGCATGGGCCTGCGCTTGGGGTCCTGGCCAGTACGTGCGCGAAATCCAGCGGGAGCCCAGGTTCCTCAGTGTTTGAGGGAGCAGGGATTCTAGGGGCGCACACGGGGATCGGCCCAGCCGGACACTCAAGCTGCTAGGTCCCCAGCCTAGTTGTGAGCCCCCACCCTTGGGTGGGACTTTCGCAAGACTCCCAGGATGGGTGGGAGTGACCCAGGTCGTGGCGCTGTGTCCTTTCCCCATTGTCCACAGCACGCAGTGGGGGAGCCAGCTCCTTCCTCAGCTTCGCCGCGGCTTTGGTCGCCCCGCTGTCACCTTCAGGCCCTGGACGAAGGGGGACAGCACGCAGCAGTACTTGGGTCTGCAAACGCCCGTGGTCCTCCGAATTCCGCTCCTGCGGGCCTGGGTGCGCTGCACCCTCCCCGGGTGCAGCATAGCCAGGCAGAAGCGAGAGGCACCAGGACCAGCCTCGGGGACCTCGGGGGACCTCGCCCCGGAACGCGGGGATGGACACAGAGCCGGGGCACGGCGGTGGTCAGCCAGCCCCGCGCTGTCAGTCAGGGGCGATCTGGGCTGCGTCCGCGTGCGTGCCTAGTTCCCATCCTGCGCTCTCCTCAGCACGCAGGGATTCCGGGTGCGGGTAGAGGCGCCTCGATAGGCGGAGCCCGGAAGGTGGAAGGCGTGGAGGGCATAGATTCCCACTCCCAGCCTGGGCCTGGGGACTCACGGACCGCGGGCTCCGGACTCTGCGCGCAAAGGTGCGGAGCGGTAGGCGAGGGGTGGAAGAGTGTGCGCCCCTGGGGTGGGGGCTTGGCCACCTCAGTTGTTTCCTTTCCTTTCCTGCCCCCGTTCCTCTGCTCCCTCACGCCCTGGGTGGATGCTGCCCGGGTCGACTCGGCGCTTTGCCTTTCCCTGCACGCACGACGCTGGGCGTCTCTCTGGGGTCCCTCCTCGCTCCATCCTATGTGCTCCGCGTTGTTCCTTTCCCCGGTGAGCTCAGCGCCGGTGCCCGTGGAGAGTGTGGCTCCCTCCAAAGACTCGCCCCCCAGTCTTCCCCAGAGGGACCCGGGCTTCGTCTGTAAAGTGACGGGGACGGTGGTGTTTACCCCTTACAGTGGCTTTGGGGAGGGGTGAGTGGGCTCAGGCTCATGCCCTCCTTTAGCGAAAAGCGCAGCGCGCTGGTGGAACTCTCCCCGGGCCCCAAGGCTCACTGTTAAGAGAAAGTTTATAGGAATCCCGAAGATGTCCCATGAGCACCGGCAACGAGAAATAAAGAAGGAAGGGGAGATGCACAGCTTGCTGGGGGTTGAGGGCCCCCCAAAAGATATCTAGAGGCCGCCTGTTGGGGTGGGGCTTTTTTTTTTTACTTGGGATGAAATCTGTGAAGTACTTGAATGGGAAACACCCACACTGCCCAGGCGCTGATTGGTGAGATTCCCATTTAAGCCTCACGTCAATCTTAGGTAGATAATGTCCTCAATCCTGTTTACAAACAGACAAACAAAGCACAGGGAAGTTGGCCAGCTTGGGCAGAGCGCACAACCAATTAAACAAACCAAAAAAGGCAACTGAAGAGCGCACAGTATACGGGAGGGAATCCCTGGCCTCTGGGAAGGGGATTCACGGTTTTGATTTTTTCACTGGTAATTGAACGAGGCACAGTGGCCGCACCGGCCTGTGATGCCAGCACTTAGGAGGCTGAGGCAGGAGGATCATTGTGAGTTTTGAGACCAGCCTGGGCTACATAGTAAACTCAAGGCCAGTCTCAATTACACCGCAAGATCCTTTCTCAAAAAACAAAACATAGCACCAAAAACCCCATGGGAAAAAAAAAAAACAAAAACAAGCTAACTGGGTATTGAACCCCAGAACCTTCACACTGAGCCACCCCCTGCTTTCTAAATTTTGAGACTGGGTGTCAGGTAAGTTGTTGATTTGGCCAGAGTGGGCTTGAACTTGTGCTCTTCCTGCCAAATTACCTCTCACAGTGGAGGAAGGGGCCACAGGGGTGATACTGGTTGTCTGGGACAGTATCTGACCCCTTCACGGGTACATTCTGCTCGCACTGAGAAAAGGGGTCCAGCTCAAACCATAAAGCCCAGCCCCCCCATTACTCTTGATAATACCAGGACCTTGTTCATGGCCCTTTGTTTAATTCTGCACCCCAGGCCCCAACACCCACCCCTGCACTCCCTAATGGTGCTCATGAAGCCCCGCCCTCCCCACAGGCTTCACCAGTGCTGCCCCTAAGAGGAGTCCCTTCCCTCTTCTGCACTTGTTGAACTGGTCCACATCGCTCAAGGTCCAGCTCTGTCCCTCTTGCTCAGCACACTGCATGGGCGGATGTCCTGCCTTCGAGCAGATGCCGAGCCCAGGGACGGGGCGGAGCATGTACTGGAATCAATCAGGACCTCCTGGCGTCTTGGGACTGTGTGCGCTTGGGCTATTAGTCTCCTCCACGTCTCTGTCCTCTGCAGAGTTGGGCGGCAGGAGGGCCTGCTTCTTACAGTGACTTTGGGAGGAAGGAATGGGACCAGCTCCTAAAGACTGCTGGCCTGGAGTGGGGACTCAGCAGGCACTCAATGGGCATGGGAGAGGGGTGCAGGGATAACCAGGTGGAGGAGCAGGACCCTGGGGTCCTAAGGTCTTGGCTGCAGCTGGGGCAGGGTATTAGGCTGAGTGCTGAGGGGCCCTGAGAGGGGCAGCTGGGCTGGTGGGGAGACACAGGAGGGACTCAGGCCCGGCCCCTCAGCCCAGTAGAGGACCAGGATCCAGCCAGGGCTGGAGAGGAACGCACATCTCTGAGTCCCCAGAGAGCTAAGAGGTTGGTATGTTCATCCGCCTGGTGACCAGACAGAGGCATTGTGGCCGCCAGGGCCTGCGTGGTCAGGTGGGGACCGGCAGGGGCAGATCCTGCCCACCTGTCAGGCTCTGGGTTTCATTTCAAGCTGTCACTTGCCCAGCACCATCCCCTCCCGACTCCAGAGCTTGGGAACCTTTCACTCAGACACATTTATCGGCCAAAAGAAAACAGTTCCATTGTTGGGGTAATGGGGGCGGGGTCTCCAGACTGACTCCCAAGAGGGGTCTGGCCTCTTCCTGTGTGCCTGGACACAGCCTCTCCTAACCATGCTGGGGCTTCCATTCTCTGCGGTGGGCACGGCTGGGGTAGGGAATTTGGGAATGGCTCCCCTATAGGGTCCCTGCCAAACACGCTGCCAGGTACAGATGTGTGCCTGCTGGGCACTGGGACGGACTGAGGCACATCCGGGGCATTGAGCACAGGCAGAGGGAGAGGAGCTCCGTGTGCAGGTAGCAGCTCCTGAGAACTGGGCTGTCAGGTTTCCTGTGGGAGTGGGGCTGGGCGGATTCCCCTGCCCCCTTCACCTCTGTGAGGGGAGGTCCCAGAGCCGAGGGAGAAGCTGGGTTGGCCTTGATCTGCTGCCCGCGGCTGCTGCTGCTGCGGGTGAGACAGACTAGACCGAGGGAGAGGACCCAGGCGAATTCTCCTGAGTGGAGGGCTTGTCCTCCAAAGGTCCTTCAGGCAAGCCCAGTGCCGCTGGCCCCAGGGCTGTGAAAAGCCAGTTTATGGCCCTCCCTTGCCTCTGCCCTGGCCTGCTCTTCATCCCCAGGGTGCCTGCCTTGCAGGTGGTATTGCCCGGTTTACCTGCTGACCCCACGGAGCCTCAGAGCACCCTTGGGACCGT